GCGGCAGTGGGGACCGCCACCCGCCACGGGCTCAGCGGCACCCGCCCAAGGCTCAGGACGCCACGCTTGGAGTGGCTCGTTCCAGGCTGAGCCCTGACCCTGTCGGGGACAGGAAATTCTCTGACCTTGGGAAAGACACTGACCTGACGTTGACCATGTCAGCGGGAGTCCCCACGAGACCTCCGATGCAACCTGGGGCAAGAGACCCCGGAGCCCACATGTGACCTGGCGGGGCCCTCGTGGAGACGCCGTGCGCCTCCCAGCAGCCCGCCCCGATCTGGCCCCTGCCCGCCCAGCGACTCACCACTGAGGGAACCCAGCAACACCTTCTTGTAGAAGGGCAGGGGCCCCTGGCTGCCCTGGGCCACCTGGTCACGCACGGTCTCGTAGATGGCGAATCGGGTCAGGGAGTAGGTCATCTGGGGGGAGGGGCCCCGTGCCAAGGGTGCGGGTGAAGGGGCGGGCCGGGCAGGACCACACCCCTAGGCCCTCCTACCCCAGCCATCCAGGTACACGGCCATCCCTTGGGGACCATGGGGACACTGAGGAACCCTCCCAAGGCCACAAAGCCAGCAAGCGGTTGAGCAGAGTCCAAAGCCCTGCACCCTACTCTCTCCCTCCCTGGGCCTCGGTTTCCCCATCTGTAAGTGAAGGTCTCGGCTGGCTGAGAAAGCAGGGCCGGCACTGGAAGGCGGAGGGCGGCTCGGCCCACCCCGCCCTGCCCCGCACCCACCCAGGGTTGCGGCTCCCAGGGACTCGGGGTTCCTTCTTCCCAAGCAGCCCTGACGAGGAGAAAGTCGCTTCAGTGCCCACGGGGTCCCCACAGCGGGCAGACGCGGCCACGTCCGGGCCTGGGGACGCCAGCCGTCCCTCCTGCCCGCCTGGGCTGCTCAGAGCGTGGGCTCTGGGGCCAGGACCTACAGGAGCTCCGCTGGGGGCCGCTGGTGGGGAACGCGAGGCACCTGTCTGCACAGGGAGGCGCTCAGGCCGTTGTAGAGCGCCAGGATGCCGTCGGAGCGCACCACCTGCAGCGCCATGCCGGTCATGCGCAGCTTCACCTCCTGCTGCGTCTGCAGGTGCACCTGTGGGCGGGGGAGGGATCACGCCTGCTCAGAGCGGCCCCCGCCCTGGGCCCCCCGCCTGCCGCCTTCACCCCCACCCCGCTGATGACCCTGCGGGCCAAGTGCTATCGCACCCCATGTGGAGACGGGGAGCAGGCGCAGGGAGGAAGAGGCCTCCTAAGGGGCCCCAGCTGGGACGCCACCGCACCTGGCACCAGTCTCTGTCCCACGTTATTGTCTTACGAGGGACAATACCAGGTGCCTCGTGTGCCCGCCAGGCCCAAGAGAAATACTCTGCACACATCTCTGAGGCCTCGAGGCAGCTGCTGTGGGCAGGGGTCTTCAGCCCCATTTTATAGATGAGAAAACTGAGGCAGGACACAGCAGGGCGACTCTGGAGCCCCTCTGTTTAGCCACACTCACTTCTCCGGAGGGACAAAGTTACCCGGACGTGGAGACTGGCAGAGGCAGGTGGGAATCCACCAGGGCAAAGGCCACCTCAGACGGTCACATCCTGGCTGGGCCTGCTTGGGTAGGTTAGTGGCCTGTGCCTCAGTTTCTCCTACATGTTGTGAGGATTAAGGGGCACAGTGAGTGAACCCCATCCTGCCTCTGGCTGGCGGCTCCGGGTGGCGGGACAGCGAAGGTGGGTGTGCATGGGCGGGGCTCCCTTGCCCAGCTCAGCAACACACACGCCATCCTCCTGCTGCTGAGCCACGCCAGGCAGGACAGAGGGCACGGGGCCTGGGGACAGGGACGCCACGAGGGCAGCAGCTCCCGTCCAGGCAAGAAGAGACTGTGAGGACCCAGCCAGGACATGAAGCAAAGAAAGATCACGGAGTTTTAAAATACTTTTTCCAGTGACTGTGCTGAAAAGTACAAACCGCGGCCAGGGCTCCCTTCCAAGGTGGCCGCTACACGCCAGCACAGGGCCACGTGTGCCCGGGCCAGAGGGTGGCCACGCTCCTGTGACTGCCCGCATCCCCTGACACATCCTGGCAGGATCTGGCAGCAAAACAGCACCTTGGGGGTGGGGAAAGGGGGCAGGGACGCCTGAAGGGGCCTTGGACAATGGAAGAGCCGGGGGGGGCTCCGAGGGCCCTGGGAGGCTGTGCCTGCCCAGTCAGAGACCACGAGCCTGACCCTCCGGGGCCCAGGGTGGTGGGGTGAAGAGTGTGGGCACATGTGTTGGCGTCCCGAAAGCAAATAAAACAGACATGAGGGGGTATCCTCTTTCCCCAGACCAAAAAACACCTTCCTCTTCTCTGTCACGCCCTCTGGCTGGTGGCCACAGCAGGGTCAGGCCACCTCAGGCGCATCGATGGGGCCACCGGCTTCAGCTCCCTGTCTGCTAATCCTGCCTTTACTGGTGGCATTTTTCCTCACTAGAGAAGCAACCCCCTCCCTTTAGGAGAAAGGCTGCAGAAAGATACACGCCCTCAGGCAAGGAGGGCCTGGCCAGGCTCCAGGTCAGGCCGCAGGAGCCAATCCCTCCCCCGGGACCAGTGTGGGCCAGGGGTGGCTGCCCCTTGCCCACAGGCCCCACGTGACACAGTGCAAACTCTCTGGGGCAGACTATGGTTTGTGCCTCTGGCCCTTCTTTGTTCTTTGTGGAGCGACGGGGGCAGAAAATAACCCCCTTGGTTGGCCCCGGAGACAAGGGAGCTCTGTCTTATTCTGCCCCGTAAGCACTTAAAAAATACACAAAAAGACTGAAAGCTTCTTGCTCTGAGAAATGCTTGCTCTGATAGTGCAGGGCCTGCCTGGGGGCAGGGCCCATGGCTTCCAGGTGCCCACGCAGTCCAAGAGGAAGCAGCTTGTGTCACCCCACTCGCCCAGGCCACGTCCCTCATTCCCTCTCACTCTGCGTGTGCCAGAACCCCACTAGGCAGGGGGGAGTCTGGGTCTATGTCCTGGGTGTGCTAGAGCCGGGGCACCTGCAGAACCACCCACCAGGCAGCATGAGTGGCCTCAGAGGTGCCAGAGTAAATTGGCTTAGCGGGGTCAAGTGACAAGCCCAAGGTCACACAGGTAGTATAGCAAAGGGTTTCGACCGGAACGCAGCCCGCCAAGAACCAGGAGCAGGCTGGGACGCGGGGCACCGGAGCTGCTCCACCCCGGGACTGGCAGGGCCTAGGGGACCTCCCGCCGCCCGCCTCCATGCTGGGTAGTGGGGCAGGAAAGTGAGCCGATGTCTCTGCGGCCCCCGGGCAGGGCGGGATCAGGTGCTCAGGGACCACGGGCGTGGGCGTCCTGGGTGGGCGTGGGGCCCCGGTTCCTAACCGCCGCCCGCCCGGCCCACGCCGCCCTCACCTTGAGCAGGTCCAGCGGGTGCGTGCAGCAGGCTGCCCCACACGAGGCCAGGCCCCCGAAGTACCAGCGCGAAACGCGCACCTCGGCCGCCATGCCCGGAAGCGGACGCCCAGGAGTGCCGGCGGCCCGGGCCGGATCCAGACGCGGACACTAATCCCGACCCCGACCTCGGCTCCCGCCGCCGCCCCCGCCCCGGGTTCAAAGCACCGTCCGCAACCCGCGCAGCCAACGCGACCGCGCGGGGGGCGTGACCAGGCCCGGGGGCGTGGCCAGGCAGACCCCGCCCCGGCGCCGGGGGGCGGGCCCAGCGCCTTAAAGCGGCTGCAGCGCAAGAGCCCAGCCGGGTGGGTCCCACCGCTCGTCTCCACCCGTAGCGCGGACCCCAGGCAGCCTGCTCAGCCCAGCCGGGTGGGTCCCACCGCTCGTCTCCACCCGTAGCGCGGACCCCAGGCCCTCTCACTGGCCCTAGGAACCTCGCGTCCCTCCCCTACCCGGCGCCGGCCCACCCCCAGGCCGCCCACTCCTAGGGTACGTCCCGAAAGGTCACAAACGAGGCTTGGCGATGGAGCTCTGCCAACCCTCCCGCCTCCTGGAGGCCGGCCTCCGCAAACTGTCTGCCCTAATAGCGGACCTGAAGGATGGGCAAAGTGAAGTCCAAGTCCCCAGGACCACCTCTGGGCAGGGTCACAGGCACCCAGGGGTTCTCTGCGGGGGCAGCCTTCAATCTCAGAGGGAGCAGAGCCAGACCCCTTCCTCAGGGAAGGACCTACGCCCTGCAGTCCCAGCTCGGCCACTGCAGCCCCTACCCCCAGGGAGAAGGGGGAGGCGCACTGGGGAAACCACTCCTGGTCCCCTGAACCTGGAGCACCCCGGATAACGACCCAGCGGTTCTCCAGCTGTGCGGGAGGCACAGGATGTGCGCGCAAACCTGCCATTTGCCTAAAGCAGCCACTTGTAGACTCAGGATCAGTGTTCTAGAACCCCAGGAGGCCTCTGACCCCGAGGTCACCAGCTGGGAAGTGGACAGCTGGCTGCAGAGATGGAGTTCAGCCCAGAAATGCAGGAGGAGGATGGGGAGGAGAGGGCAGCTGTCTCATCCGGAACGGGGAGGACACCGGTGAGAAACATCTCAGATGCAAACGAGGTAAAAAAACACGGCCCCGGAGCCTGGGGGCACAAGGGGGGAGGAGAGAGGCAGGAATTCTCTGGAAAAACCAGAGGGGACGGTGGGGGGGGGGCGGTGGGGAGAGGAGACCCAAGAAGCTCCAGAAGGAAATGTGAAAATGTCACCAAACACGAGGTGGCTTCCACAGTTAATACACAAGAGACTCGTGGAAGTAGCACTTGGTTTAAAAACCCAGAGCTAACGGACAGCCTGCTAGGTGCAGAAGGCATGGCCCCTGGCGAGCACCCCGGGGGACCTGTCAGCCCAGCCCATCCTTGACCCACACCAGAGTCTTGTTCACAGTGAACCAGGTGTCCCAGTCCCGTCAACCTAAGGGTGATGTCATCTGCTCCTGACTACAAAGCAGTCAGTGAAGCGGAGGTGACAGACTTCTGAGGTCCTGAGACTGCGTGACAGCCCAGGAAGCAGAGGGGGAAGTGGGGATAACTAGACCAGGTCTTGAACCGTAGCCAGCAGGGGTGCCCCTGTGCTCCCTCTGCATGAGGGCCACCTCCCTGCCAAACTGGGAAGGGCTCGGTGGGGGCCGAGGGGCTGGACCTGAAGAGACTGTCTTAAGAAAACGTGAAGAGTGGCAGCGGAACCGCACCAACTCCCAGGGAAGAGGGCAGAGCCTGGCAGCGGGAAATGCACCGAGACCACGGGAGACCGTGGGGACAGGGACGTCCTGCCACCTGCGCGTGAGCCCAGGCTCCCGGGCAAGAGGCCTGTTCTGCGGCTCTTGCACACTTTCTGGTGCTTGGGCAGGGAGGACAAGCCACGTGGGTGGCCTGGCAGACACCAGGGTCCCTGGGACGGGGGTTTGCGGGGGAAGGAGGCACATGAGTCAGCTCCAGCTGTGTCCCATGACCATTTTCCCAGCTTGGACAAAGATGCAGAATGCTAATTCCCACCGGAATCCTGTGAGGTGCTGCGTGGGCACCAGGAGGGCGATGCAAGACACGGCAGACCCACCTCCCAGGGCGGAGCCTCAGAACCAAGGCCAAGTGGGCTCCCGGAACTGGTGACCCCGGGGGCACGGCCCCTATTTGCAAGTCTGAGACATTTGTGGGCACCTGCAGGCTGCAGCGGGTGACGGGGAGCTGGAGGTGGAGGGCCAGGACCTCCATCGGGAGCCCTGGGTCTGCTAGCACCTTCAGGTATCAGCAAGGGAACACCACCGAGTGCCATCCGAGCCTGGCGTACTCGCGGAAGAATGCGGTTGGCCACCCCCACCTTTGAGCAGCCCCCACAGCAAGTCCAGGACCCAGCAGACGGCCCTATCGCTCCAGCTGTCACCCTGCTCCCTAGGAAAGGTCAAAGGCCTGTTGTCCCTGAGCTCGGCCCACTCCTTGTCCCTGAAAAGGCCGCCAGATCAGCAGGCCACCCCAGCCCCAGGAGGCCCAGCAGCCACCTCCATGGAGGGAAGGCACACCCAGATCTGCTGATGGAGAATCATTAACTTCTCAGGGTGGCCAGTGGGGCTTTCTGGTCAGGGAGCAGCCTTCCCTGCCCCCCAGACCCCTCCTGTGAGAAGTCCTAGGCGGAGCTGGGAGGTGGTGCTGGGCACAGGCTCACGCAGAGGCGGCACTCCCAGGAGCACAGTGCCCCCTTCTGGCCCCACAGATTTAACCTTGCAGGTCATTCTTCCAAAAGGGCGGGGCATGGGGCAGGACCTGGGGACCCAGGCCAGAGGGTGTGAACTCCAGGGTCACCGGAACCAGGATGGGTGCCCAAAGCAAGCTGCAGCCTCCTGCCCTCGGCCCCTAATCCCAGGGACCTCCTGCCAAGGGCCAGCAGAGGGAGGACTCCTGGGCCACCCTCACTCAGCAGGGGGCAGCCACTGCCACCTGCAAATGCCATCCACTGGCACCAGGCGCTTCCCTCACCTCACCCCTGGCCCCATGGCCCAGACCCCCGAGGTGCGTCCTCTGAGCCCCACGGGAACAGTGGCTGACTGTCAACCGCCGCAGGGCCGCCTCACCCTGGCCCACATGGGCTGGCGCACCACCGCCTCCACGCCAGCCTCGGGCCAGCGCTGGAGACCACCGACGCTCACAACGGAGCTCCACAGGTGGGTGCTGCCCTGCTCCCCACTGCACGCCCCGGAGAGCACTGCATGCTGTGGGGTCCCGCGACAGCCCCTGCACGCCGAGGACCCGGACGGCGGCCTGCAGACCCCACACAGCACTCCACGCACAGGGCCTTAACTGTGTATTTTTCTCAGCGGCCACCGGGGGGCACGTTGCATGGAGGCCCCGTTCAGAGTCCGGCCGCGGGCTCTCACAGGCGCGCGGCCCCTCCCGCCTCAGTAGGTCCATGAGTGTGTCCCAGAGCCGAGCTGCCACGCGAAGTTCTGCTCCAAAGCCTCTTCTGAGGCCTCCTGGGTGTTGGAGCGAGCAGCGGGGCCTTGCCCGAGTCCCAGGGACCCCTGTCCACAAGTCCCGGGGCTGGCCTACTCCAGAACCACGGTGCCGCCCACAGCCTCCAGGGCCGCCTTGATCTTCTCCGCCTCGGCCTTGGCGACGTTGGCTTTGATTTCCTGGGGCAGAGACTCCACCAGCTTCTTTGCCTGCGGGAGGGCGACGTCAGACAGCAGCCCTGGGTGCCCAGCCTGCCCTGGGAGGGGCCCCTGGGGACTCACCTGCACAAGGTTTATGCCCTGCACATAGTTCTTGATCTCCTTGATCAGCTTCACTTTGTCCACGGGCTTTGCCTCGGTCAGGCGGACCGTGAAATGAGTCTGTTCTTTCCGTTTGGGGACATCTTCTTCCACTGCCTGGGAGAAAGGGACAGAAAGTGGGCAGCAAGGCGAGGAAGGATGGCATGGGGTAGGCGCATTTGCTCACGGGCTGCCCCATTCTGTGACCCCAAAGGCAAGGCCTAGGCCGACAGCCCTGCAAAGCCTGCGATGCCAGAGAAGGCCGCGCCAGGCCAGGCGGGCTCAGATCGCCCAACTGGCCAACCCCCTACCCGCGCGGTGCCCTCCCGTCCCTGTTCGCTTTTCGGTCAGACCTGACCCCATCACCCAGAGAAGTTTCCATATCTCCACAGCCTATTCTAAAAGAGCCAACTGTACCAGCCCCTCGGTTCCCACACCCTTTACAAACTGTAACTTGTCAAACAAGGAAGTGACACCAAAAATACTTTACGAATAAAATAATGTTATAGAAAAGCAGTGCCATTCCAGTCCTCGGTCAAGCCTAAGATTATCTGTCGATGACAAATGTACAACCAGCTTCAGCTTCAATGTCACTAAGTGACCAACAATGAGACAACTGGGCATGACAGAGCTCCAGTGAAATCTGAATAGGTTAGGACGATCCTTGTGCCGAGGGCTGCTGGCCGTGCAAGAAAATATCTGCTTTTAGGGACACGTGGACCACAGTGAGGACGGGCTACGAGCCAGAGACAGGCCAGGCAGGTGTAGCAAAGCCTCGGCTGTTACTAAGGCTGGGAGTGATCGCGTTACTATTCCTGCTTAGGCATAATTTGAGACTTTTTGTAACACAAATTGCAAAACAACCCCCAAATCAGTGTAGCTTCAAGTCCGCTGGTTTCCCCGCAGAGACCCAAACGAGTCCCGGCATCCCAAGGATGAAGCTGCCTGTCGCCTCCCGGTCCTGCGCCTCACGGCCCTGTGCCCGCCGACCCTCTGCCAGGAGCGCCTTGCTCTCTTCCTCAACTCCTCATGTCTCCTCTCAGAGTGCCACCTGCTCATGGCTTTCCTGGAAATTGTTACCCTCCCCCTCAAGTTCCTGCCTACTTTCTCCCCAGGGCACGTATAACGCTACCATTCGACATAACTCTCTTCTGTCTTTTCCTCTTCTCTGGCTCACCATCTGTTCCCCACTAGAAACACGGTCTCTACTGGGCAGGGACCTGCACATCCCCAGCAGGGAGGAAGTCCCAGGGAGGCTGACAAGATGCCCAGAGCCAGAAGCACACACAGATTCGCAGGCTGTGTTGACTGATGCAGGGCCAAAACGAGAGACGAGAAATCTGGCCATGTGATGTGAGGCCAGATGGGAATGGGGCATCAGAGAAACGTCTCTTTCCGCCTGAGACCTAGCCTGGGCTCACCTCGGGCGCTTCCACGGTAGGGGCAGCTCCCGGCATCACACTGCCCATCGGCATGACTCCAACATCCTGTATCTTCAATGTTTTCTGCAGAGACAGAGAGCCATCTCAGACCTGGCTGTCATACCCAGACACGCTCAGGGACAAGTCTAGCACGGTCCTCGCACTCAGGGAGCAGCACACTTTTCACGATTTACCAAACTCCCCAAATACACCAGGAACAAGACACGGGCCCCAGACATCACTGCCCAGGCCTGGCCCGTGATACCTTCAGGAGCTCGTTGAGGTCTGAGATCTCCAGGAGCGTGAGGTTGGCAATGTCCTGGACCAGCTGCTGGATCTTGGGGGGGTACTCCTTGGGGGCGTTATCCAGGGGTGCACCGGCAAGAGCCTCTCCCCGGCGATGGCTGCTGCATCTCATCAGCCGCACGGTGCAGACACGCGGCGCCTGTTGCCTACACGCCATTCAAACAGACTGGTCAACCTGGCACAGGTGGGTGACACAGTCCAGGCAGGTAGGTGCCACGACCTCAGGTCTAGCTCCTTGGTCCCAACCCAGGGTTCTGATTCCAGAGTCCACATGGATAGCAAGGGGGTTTCTCAGTTACTTTACTTTCTTCAGGAGCCTCAGAAACCTACATAATTACTGCAAACATGCTACCCAGTTCGCTTCCTGGTTTGAATGAACCCTCAGCCCACGGGGGAAAGGCAATTACTTGAAAGCGTTTTCGCATAAAGCCTTTCAGAATCTGGGTCCCTCTTCGGCTGAACGCCGGATGCACGGATGGGAGTCCTACCACGTCACTAAGCTGCGGGGGAAACTGAGGCCCAAAGAGGGGCAGTAACTCGTCAAAGGTCATCCATCTGGGGCTACTCCGGCACTCTCTGCAGCCCGCGCGGTTAGGGGATCCGCACGCAGGGAGCCTCGTGCCCCACACCCTTGCCAGAACCTGCGGAATTGGGGTGGCCTCCCGCCCGCTGCCCCGATCTGAACCATCGGTGGCCAGCCGAAGGCCCGCACTATGCCCGCCCGGCCCTCGGCAGTACCTGGCGAGGCGGAGCGTGGTGCCCCGAAACCCGAGACACGGCCCCCACAGGGGGCGAGCAGCCGCCGGCAGCATCGCTCCGCGGGCGGGAAGGTCACACGCGGCTCCCGAGGAGGGACGCTCTAGCCGCCAGGGCTGCAGAGTATAGGAGGTGAGGAGGACGCTCTAGCCGCCGGGCATACAATGAAGAGGAAACTCTAGCCGCCGGATCCGCGGAGCATACGAGCCGAGGAGGACGCTCTAGCCGCCGGGCCGCCGGGAAAAGGCGTTGGGGAGGACGCTCTAGCCGCGCCTCGCGCTTGCTTACTCTCGTTCCCCGAGATTACCCACAAGGCCGCGGGCCGCGCAGGCGCAGAGTTTCGTTGGCGCCGGTGATCGGTTCCGGCCCTCGCCCCTAGGGGCGAACGGAGGCCAGAAAAGGCTGAGGTCTGGTGACAGGCTCCATCCGAGTCGGGAAGGCGGGCCCGGTCCGTATTGAACAGCGCAGTGAACCCTGCCGAAGTCGCGTCTGCTGAAGTGGCTTTCGGCTCGTCACGTTTGCTCTGCGGCCCGCAGCCGGTGGTCACCCAGTGCGCGGGATTCCCGCTGTCCTCTTGCCAGCCTGCTCTTGGGCATCTTCCTCCACCGAACGGCTGCACGTTTTCCCTTTCGGTCCTGGCCGGCTCGGGACTCTGCTTAGAGTTCGCTAAAGGTTGTAATTGAGCTTGGAAGGGGTGAGTGATGGGGTCGTGGGCGGAAGGGCTAGCACTTCCCCTGGAAGAAGAGAATTTGTAAGCTCTGCTGTCTCAAGATGCCCGAATCCTCTATGATCCTTACTCTCGGTCCAGCTCCCAAACCTGCGGCCCGCGGGGTATCTTCAGCTCAGCTCTGCTGCAGCGTCTGCCCTGAGGGGCCTGGGTCTTTGCTCTTTATACGCAGCCAGTGGAAGAACAAGTAAAGTCTCCTTTCTCAGTTGCCACAGGTGATTTTCTGAGAGCCAGCGCTGGAGCAGCCCGGCTTTGGGTCAGATTAGAAGGCATGGCTGCCCTCTGCCCAACTGCTATTCTGGCCCTGCCTTTGATCTGAGCCTAGCAGCCTCTGTGCCTATTAAATGATTCAATTTCTTTGAAGAAGAGCTAATGCTGGGGTCTCTGTGGGGCTTGGGTATTTAAGGCGGTGTCCTGAACTCCATGCTGAACAGGCTGCGAGTCTTTAGCATCATCTAGGCTGTAACTAACTACCATTGTCCTGAAAGGAGAACCATGAGCCTGCATGCCTGCCAGGAGTCAGGGCCAAGCAGGGCTGGGGGCGGGGCATTCATCATAGTGGTGCCCCCAGTGCCCAGTCTCAGGGTGGAGATGGCAGATCTGCAGCTGGGGCCGGAGCAGTGTTCCCTGGGGAGACTGCCTGTGGAGCTGGGCCTGGAGCAGGGGCCAAGCTGGCCTGCGGGGGTATGCGTACACGTCCCTGTCCAGAGCTGGACCAGCTGCCCACCCCTTTACTCTGAACAGACACCGATACTTGTTGAAAGGTTTTATTACCGCTGTCCCATTCTGTCTACTCTGGGCACCAGGTGAGATGACAGCTCAGAAGCAGAGAAGCTGAAGACAAGCCCCCACCCTTCCCGCGAGGGCCAGAAATGCCCCTGCTGACAGACTGGAGGCCACGCTAGAGGGCTCTGGGGCGCTCTCACACTAGTCACAGACCAGAGGCCCCCACGGTCTCACGGGCAGGGGGAACAGGAGGGCAGAGGGACCCCACTCCACGCAGCCCTTATGGGACCCTGGACACACCAGGCTGGGGGCTTGTGGTCAGAGACCCTTCCCTTCTGCCCTCTGCCCCGAGGCCCAGCCC